GCGGGTGGGAGGAGAACACAGACAAAGAAGGCGCTCATGTCACTCATGAAAGATTGACCACAGATTCTACTCCAAGCGTATCCCCACCTTGCCCCCTCCCTAAACCACCTCTCTTGCGTTTCTTTTCCCACTGCATTGCTGTTCTGCAACAGACACAAAAAGCACATGCTGTCAACAACAAAAAACCCACAACATACAACAGACAAACACACAAACACAAAACAAAATGCCTAACGCACATACAAACAGACACACAAACAAGTACATTCACAAACAATGGTAACAGTCTACGGCCCCGTGCTCAGCGAAGACGTCCCAACGCACAGTTCAAAAGACCACCCACCAACAAAGAAATAAACACACGGAGACAGAACAAAAGAGCAGAACATACCGTCCTAACACAGTGACGATCGCACAAATAAACAGTCAGAGTGGGTTTTTTTTTTTTTTTGTTTTTTTTTGTAAGTACTATACGGCGCTCCCAACTGCATAATTATGAGCTTGCGGGACACATTAAACATTTTCAGTTGGCAGGAGGAAATTTTGAATTTTGCCCAGGTGGCGGCCGAAGACAGAGTTCAAAATATCACCCATCAACAAAGAAATACCACTCGAACACAGCACAAAACAGCAGCACCGAAGCACATACCGTCCGGACACAGTGACGGTCGCACAAATAAACACACAAACAAACAAACACACAAACAAGTAGCGAGCCAACATACCGTCCGGACTTTGTGATGACCATCTCCGTGCCGTGCTCCGCGAAGAGGTCCCACAGGTTCTTCCCGTCCAGCTCAGCCCGGGGGTTGTCCTTGACCCCGTCATCCTTGGGCTCGATGCCAGCCGCCGCTCTGGGGGTCGGGGAGGGGTGGGGTGGCATGAATAGGGATATATTATAAAACTAAATATACGAATAAACAAATGATTACATTTTTTTTAAAACCCAAATAAACAAATTTTAACAATAAATAAATAAATAAATAAATAGATAGATACATAAATATAAATGTATACATATTATATATATAAATAATAATAACAATAATAATAATAATAATAATAATAGATAGCATTTGTATATATATATATATATATGTGTGTGTGTGTGTGTGTGACGCATGCTGACAAAATGAGTTACTTTTTGAAATCTTGTCTATCTATCGTCACAGATAGATATATATCAAAGTTATAGTTTGGGTTGATATAATTCAACGTATGAAATGATAAGCGGAATTAAACTCGAAGAAAAATGAATTGGTTTAAGAATTTACAAATTTGATGTGTGTCCATCTTCGGCCTACATCTCCATTCGTGGATTGCGAGAAGTAACTCATTTTGTCAGCACGCCTCACATATATGAATGATATGGATGGATGGATGGATGGATGAATGGTTGGATGGATGGATGAATGAATGAATGGATGGATGGATGGATGGATGGATGGATGGATGGATGGATGGATGGATGGATGAACGAATGCATGGATGAATGAACAAACAAATAAATAAACAAACAACACTTTCGATCCCTATGGGGATATTTGGGTTGCAATAGCAAAAATGCATACATACATACATATCATTCAAACACAAAAATGCATACATACATACATATCATTCAAACACAAAAATGCATACATACATACATATCATTCAAACACAAAAATGCATACATACATACATATCATTCAAACACAAAAATGCATACATACATACATATCATTCAAACACAAAAATTCACCTCCTAAGCAATACACAATATTACACCATTGCAGATAAAGTTACCAACATTACGTCATTCCTGGTCGCCACTGTGCAGCGCCCTGATTTGAGCTTGAGTTAATAATAATAATAATAATAATAATAGTAATAATAATAATAATAATAATAATAATAATAATAATAATAATAATAATAATACAAAAAATAATAAATAACACTTCTGCTACGCAGACATCACATATTAAAAATGAATCGACATGTGTACGTAAAAAACAGTATCATGCAATATAATATACACATGAATATTTAGGTAGTACAGCTAGACCATGAAGTGACGTGGACGTTCAATGAATGAATGGATGGATGAATGGATGAATGAATGAATGAATGAATGAATGAATGAATGAATGAATGAATGAATGAATGAATGAATGAATTAATTAATTAATTAATTTCTCACCCCGTTTTAAAAAACAAAAGTAACTACTACGCTTATTTGGCCATGAGAAGGTGTCACAAGTCTGTTTCGCTTGCCTTGAAAGTTGCCTCCCTTCACAATGTTTTTTCATTACCCAAGAATGTTGGGGGAAAGTAGAGCAGCCACCTCAGTTTGAAATGGTGTGTGTGTGTGTGTGTGTGTGTGTGTGTGTGTGTGTGTGTGTGCATGTGTGTGTGCATGTGTGTGTGTGTGTGTGTGTGTGTGTGTGTGTGTGTGTGTGTGTGTGTGTGCGTACACAAATCTCAATGAATAAAGACTTATCAAGGGTTATCGTGACTTGCTCAAGGACACACCTCCAATGACACCCATCTTAACCCAACAATATAAGAGCGCCCGCCAACCACCCACTGAGGTGGGAAGGAAAAGTATTGACACTATTCAGTGGGTGCAGAGGAAGCAGTAGAGCCAGCCGTACCTAACAAGACATAGCAAAACAAAACCTACAGCACCAGCTGTTGTCGCAGTCAAAGTACACTGCCCGTGTGCAAGTTGCGCACGTTAAAGATCCCTTGGTGGTCCAAAATCGATAAGACTAGACTTCGGCCACCACTCGAACACAATTCAAAACGTCCTACCAATTGAAAATATTTAGTCTGTCCAGCGCGCTCATGTGACCTTAAAAAATATGCAGTTGCGAGCACTGTAAAACACTTACGAATTAAAAGGAAAAAAAACCCAACTACACTTAACTTAATCCCATCGTCGTTTACCATTACTTCCTGTGTCAAACTACGAGGTTTTCAGGAGAAGCAAAAAACAGTTTTATTTCAGGCACGACATAATGTTAGTACAAAATGCTTAATTTGTTCAAACTCGTTCCTATTTTAAGAAGAGGAATGAGACTAGAGGCAATCCATGCGCTTCGACAAACTCTTCAATATACTTGATTTCTTTTCTTTTTTTTTTTTTTTTCTTTCTTTTTTTGTTTCCCCTCGAATTGTTGACACACTACACAGTTGAATGCCGGCGACGAAATGTAATTTGGTATAAAAGAGGGTGGCTGCTCTGCTTTTGCCCAACATTCTTGGGTAATGAAAAAACATTGTGAAGGGAGGCAACGTTCAGGGCAAGCAAAACAGACTTGTGACACCTTCTCATGGCCAAGTTGTAAGTATAGTAGTCACTTCTGTTTTCAAAAGCAGGGTTAGAAATTCATTCATTCATTCATTCATTCATTCATTCATTCATTCATTCATTCATTCATTCATCCATTCATTCATTGAACGTCCTCGTCACGTCATGGTCCAGCTGTACTACCTAAAGCCCATGAACGTTAATTTGGTTCATCATCTTCGAGTGCCCATTTGCTGTTTTCTTCTTCTTCTTTAAAAAAAAGTAAGTTTTGAATATTGTTTGCACAGCTGATATGATGGTCTCTTGAAGGAAAGATTTAAAGGACAACAAATGAAAGAATAAATGAAAGAATAAATGAAAGAATGAAAGAGGGAAGGAACCAAATTTAGGTGAATAGGAAACGACAACTTCTTGAATTTTTACATGAAAGAAAAAACAACCACACGCAAAAAAATGAGAACATAATTATTTGAGTTACAATTATTGATTATATGAACGAACGAACGAACGAATGACCAACTACAAAAATGAATAAAGGAATGAGAGAGATTGTGTCAATGAATAAAAGAATTGCCCATTGCGTGAAAGGGTGACGGAATGAAATACAGCTATTTAAAAAAAAATCAAAATAAAAGAATATATGACTGTCTAAACAAAAACAAAAAGGAATGAATGTGACTGTATGAACGACCGAAAGAACCTAAAGGGATGAATGACTATGAGTACTCTATGGCAGTCTTTCAGAGTTGAAATGAACTACACAGTTTGTGCGCGACATCGGACTGACTGTCTAGCTGCTGCTGTCATCGAGAACGAGGAAGAAGAAGAAGAAGAAGAACTATGAGTAAATAAAGGAATGAGCGACTATAAAAAGGAATAAATGACTGAAAGACTTTATGAACGAAAAAGTATATAAATAAACGACTGTCAGTACGAATAATGGATTGAATGACTTATGAAAAAAAATAAAGGAATGAACGAATATAACAACAAATAAAAGAGTAAACGATAGAAGACTAAATTATCATACGAATTTTTTTTAAAGAATGAATAACTGAAAGAACAATGGAAAAAATGACCGTATGAATAAAAAGAGGAATGGACAAATGTAAGAACCAATAAAAGAATAAACGATCGTACAAACAAATAAAGAAATGAATGACTGTACGAACAAATAAAAGAATAAACGACTGTATGAATGAATAAAGACTAAATAGTTGTATGAATTTTTGTGAGGGGACGGTTAACTATATGAACAAATGATAGAATAAACTACAGCATGAACAAATACTGTACTCAATGACCGCATCAATAAATAAAGGAAGAAGAGACTAGTTTTATTTGTTTAGTAAGCGTTTACGGCACTTGCAACACAATAAGTTCATATAGATCTAAGTGCCGCAGATTGGAGGTGTTACCAGAGAGAAACAAACACAAAAAAAGCAAAAAAGAAGGAGGAAAAATACGGACGATAGATGTTTGATAGGAAAGAAGAAGCAAACCACACCATTGAACCCGCCCACCACCCATAAATGATTAGTAAAAAATGAAGGAATGAATGACTGTAAGAACAAATAAAAGAACAACGAGCGGACGAACGAATAGACACCACTCACCTCAAACTCCTGTAATAGTCCGGGTGAGCAAGGTACTCCGTCAGCAAGAAATTGGGCAGGGATCCGACCCCCAGACCCCCCGCCACAGACCCGTAGGCCGCCGCTAACCCCGGGTGGCCAGAGCCAGGGGTTCCAATCCCGTAGTGGGCTCCGAGGGGCAGCGAGAAGGGGGAGAGGCGGGGGGAGAGGAAGGCGGTGGGGTGGGGGGAGCTGGGGTTGGCGAAATCTCCAGGTCGCTGGTATACGTAAGGAGGGTAGGCCATGGTGCGGGGTAGGGGTGGTGGGGGTGTACACTGTCTGTGGGAGGAAGGAGGACACGTCGGAAAGGTGGTTAGATATTGTTTTTGTTTTATTTTGTTTTGCACTGATTTTGTTTTAAATATGTTGACT